TTTACGAAAGCTCAAAGTGGGGGTGCTGGCATGTCTCCAGCACCCCCAACTTAAAACGTTTGTAACTTTTTACAGCTTTTGGTACAAACGATGATTTTTGCGGTACAAACCGGTACAAACAGAGTACAAACGATCGCCCCGGGTTTTTTTACGAAAGTTCAAAGTGGGGATGCCGGGGACATGGAGCTGATATTTTCAACGTAGGATATTTGTAACAGGGATATTTTGATAATCCAAATCTAAATATTTTATATCCTAAATATACGACACAGTTAATGCTGTGGTGGGGTCCACTGTAGTATCAATTGAACATTAATAGGTTTATGTTCATACCTAAATATTACAAGTGACAAAAGTACACAAGGATTAAATTATACTACTTTACAGTGGGTACGATTAAAAAACCACCAAGATCGGCATCATGGTCAGCTATGGGGTGTTCATATTTTATGTAAATTATGAAAATACTTCCAATGAACGTATTATGACTATTTTCAAAATATATTATGAGAATTATTTACCAAACCTGTTATAATACATAAATATAAAATGCCGTCAAAATAAATAAATATAAAAAAGGCGTGTAAGTCGTGGATGTCACCCTGCTGTACAGTAGGTTACAAGTTGGTTACTGTAATGGATGGAATTAAAATTGAACCCAATGATATTTTATCATTGTATACGAAAAACGATTCTGAGCGAAGACGGTTTATCTGTCTAGGTCCTAGACTCTAGGATATATTATAGATTATTAAAAATGTTCAAACCTTAAATTTAAAAAGAAAAATGTTATGAATTTCTAGAATGAAATAATTTGCGAATTTTCGTGATTTTCGTGATTTTTACATATGTTGTCAAAATTCAAACATTGAATGCTTGTAAAAGAAAATTATGACTACACATTTCTTTTATGTTTCACCTGCTATTGTAAAAATATGTTAGGAGTCTTGTATTAAATTTTCAAATCTTAGATATAAAAGAAAAATATTTTATGAATTTCTAGTTTAAACTAATTTACGAATTTTCATGATTTTTACGTATGTTGTCAAAATTCAAAATTCAAACTTTGAATCCTTGTAAAAAAAAAATTGTGACTATGAATTTATTTTATTTTTTAACTGCTATTGCTAAAATGTTTTATAAGCCTTGTATTAAATTTTCATGCTTTTCTACCGAACAAATAATTTTTTATCGATATTTATAGAAAACAAAAACTAAAAAAGTTGAAAAATTAAAATGTCAGTCAACAGCTCAAAACAAATCTAAATATTTTGAAAATCTTATCAAATATAGAAAATGCCTATAATATAAACATTCAGTCAAAATTTCAAGTATCTGCGGTTATTTGTTTTAGAGTTACACCAAAATCAGGAAATCGCTAAATGTGAAAATCCAATGTTGTAAAAATTTAAATTTCCAATGCTCATAGAAATTTCATTTGAATTTCCGGTGGACTTTTTATTTGTGATAAAGATTGAAAAACTTGTAAGGAATTTTGTATTAAATTTTTTATGAATTTATAGCTTAAAATAATTTGTGAAATTTGGTGATTTTTTCGTATTTTGTAAAAATTCAAACTTTGAATGCTTATAAAAAAAAATCGTGAATATGAATTTCTTTTATTTTTCAACTGCTATTGTAACAATTTGTTAAGAGCCTTGTATTAAATTTTCAAGCTTTCTGCCTAACAAATAAATTTTTATCAATATTAATAATAAAAAAACCAATAATGACCGAAAATTTCAAATGCCTATGAATAGTTCAGCATAAGTCGAACATTTTTAAAAACTGCATGGTAAATAGAATATACTTATATAAAAATTCGGTGAAAATTTCATGTATTTATGGTCATTTGTTTTGATGTTACATCAAAAACCAAAATCGATTTTGTCGAAATATGAGTGTGCGTAAAATTTCCTGTTTTTCCCTTAATTTTTAGTTTATTTTTCCAGATTATTTAGAAAAGTATTAAGAATTTTTCACTTTTAACCCCACAAAGTACCAACTATCTTCACTTTCTGATCGAACGAGTGCTTGAAGTCAAAAATCGAAGCACTTTTATTGCCCCAAAACGTGATGACAGCCACCAAAAAAAAACACACACACATCTAATAAAAGTTGTAAAAATAGCTCTTCATAATTACGTGAAAGATACAATCACAATGGTAGGCAACTTTGATTAAGTGTACAAAAAACGAGTTTCAACTATAGAATTTCCACTAATTTTAACTTTAATTTCAAAATATCAATTATTTGTGATATATGCAAAGTAGATTTTGCAACTAAGTCTTCATTGACAAGACATCTTTTAAATAAACACAATGTTAGTAGTGAAGCTAAAAAAATAAATGTTATCTAAATGTATCACCTGTAATGACAAAACTTTTTCAAAAAAAATAACTATCCACCTAATAAAAAAATAACCACACAAAAAACTTTTTTTCGACAAAATCGAAACGAAAAAACCCGTTTTAAATAAAAAATTTAAAATATTTCAGGAGAAAGATGTAGAACATTCATATTTTAAAAAACAATAATTAAAATAAATAGAACCTTGTTGCCAATGCTTGCAATTCA